TTTTTCTTTCATGTACGTCCGCCATTTTTAGGTCACCGGCTTTGTAAAGCCTGGCTTAATTCGTTGAGAATGCGCTCTTACACGTTATTTTCGTATTGTGTAAAATGGTGGCCCAAGTTACCCTAGCCTATTCAAATAACAAACCTTGTCTTCAAAAATATTTTATTTCATGATGTTGCTTTTCAGGTATGAACATTTGCCCAAAGGACGCGGTGTGTAGGAAATACACTGAGATGTACACGTCAGCTGCTGATTTCTGCAACACCATATGGGATGGCGGATATCACGTGGTACCAGACACCGAACCCTGCATGGAGTTTAGTTTCGATCCAGCAAAACCAAATCCGAACATCCCTGTGTCTCGAGCCGCTGCTGAGAAAAAGGCAGCTGTGTCTGGGACTTCCGGACTCAAGATGTATCTCCCGTCAGGGCTTTTTGTTCTCTTTACGCTGTTCTTACTGTACACTGCCCCTCCACTGTTTTAGTTGTACAGTGTGTCTACCTGTATTATATAGCATTTTTGGATTTAAAAGTCTTTTTCGCTTTAATCTTTATTTTATGAGTTTTTGAATGACATATTTAATCAATGAACATTGAAATTAAACTTTTGTAGTTGAAAACCGTATATCTGCAGGTTAATTTTACCATGACAACAACCAATGGTCGAAAGGGAACAATTTGCTCATTGTTTCATATTTCTGTTTTCACAGAATATTTGATAACGAAAATCACCTCTGTCACTCGGACTATTACGATTGTAGCTGAGAGTAACGCATCTAACGTGACCAAAAAGTTCATATTTCCATGTTCCTTTTGTTGATCTATTTCCGACTGTTTCATGTCAGTGGACGTACATTTTATGCATGTCAGTGTTTGGATATGTAAGCTAATCTTAATAGGACTTTTTTATTTGAATTTGTAAAATCATTAAAAGAAAACATAGTCGTATAACGCATGTAATGCTGGTATATTACATCTTTAATTGCAAGATATGCGTACATACCTGTACACCACAATTTTATCGCCTTATTTCTCCTGCACTCAAATTTGTGTGTTTTTAGCGTAAAAATTAAATCACCTTTCAATAATGACATTATCATGTGCCGTTGAGTTATGTTTTGGCATCCGACACCGAGCCTTGCATGGAGTTTAGTTTCGATCCATCAAAACCAAATCCGAACATCCCCGCAGCTCGACTGCTGCCGAGGAAAGAACCGATGTGTCTGAGGCTTCCGGGTTGAAGATGGATCACAAGTCAATGATTTCAGTTTTATATGCGCTTTTCTAAAGTTGCGCCATTTCTACACTGTTTGAGCTATAAGGCGTTGATGCACAGTACAGCATATTTCGAAATTTAAAAAAAAATCACACTTAGTTTTTATTTTTAAGAGTTTCTGAATGACATATTTGTTCATTCAGCGAGAAACAAGGATGATGATCGTCCTAATTGTTCGCAATTTATTGTGCGGTGATCTCTGGTGATATTGTTACAATATAACCAGAGATCACCGCACAATATCACCAGAGATCTCTGGTGATATTGTTACAATATGGCCGTAAAATCTGTGTTTAAGTCTTAAATGTCGTGATTGAAACCATGGGGCCTGTCAAAATTAAACTGACAAAAGAAAAAATACAAAAAAAATATTATGATTACTTAGTCTTTATATGGTCCCTATGGTCATAAAAATTCTAGGAAAATCGAAGCAGTAGAGCGGGCATTTTAGACGAAAAATATCATGCAGACGACACCAGTTGTCTATCGAAGGCAGTTGTAGACGTATTATTACTGTTGGTTCTTTTATCAGAAACACGTTACAATGATATACAATTTTAACGATATGATATTTCCATCTGGATGCAAAAGTATATCAAGTGCAGCAATCATCAGGAAACGAAAAATGAAGTAAAATTGCTTATATTAAAATTAGTTCAAAACCTACGGAAACTAATTCTAATCAGAGGTGAATCAAGAAACAATAGCTCACGATTGTGAGAAAGAGAATTCTTGTAAAAGACATGTCTTGCAAATAAAGCACATCAAGACGGGAGTGTGATTTTTAATAAATCACGAAGGGCTACCACTGATAGGTACATGTACATGTAGCTATATATATGCACTACATGCACTTTAGATGCGGCATACAGGGTGCTATATATATATTCATGTAGGTAAACCTGTTTTTCTACCTTTTTCAAACAATTTTCAGTCCTTCTCTATCCCTACATTAACCTCTCCCATGTATTATGCAACAGGGCATTTAGCATAATGGTTACCAGAATAGCAAACAGTGTCACCCTTGTACATAAAAATACATCATTAAAAAAAGACAGCCTTGATTTGTACAGCTTAAGGATCCCACAAAGCTATCATGGCGTTTTCCCTAGACATCTGCATCTACCTGGCTGTGCTGACGTGGGGAGTTGTGATGCAAGAGGACAAGCCCAGAACGGCGGAGTATTACTTGAACAGATGTATTTTCTTGCCAACAAAATTCAGCAAGACAAGACCATCACCAGAACCAGAGCTCGAGGTGAGAGAGAGAGAGAGAGGTAGGGAGAGAGAGAGAGAGAGAGAGAGAGAGGTTGCAAAAAACGTGATTTTATATGTCTGTGGTGAGTTAATTACCATGAAGATGCTAGGTTAGAGTGATAAAACCTGTTACACCGTTAGAAGGGTATCCAATAATTTAACACTGAAGAATATGCACCCTACCACATATATGTATGTTCAACAGAAGAAGGCTATAAGGACGGAAACGGAAAACAATTTTTGTCTCGTTTTGTCTCCCGTTTCTCCAGTTATGCCGCATTTAGGGTAGGGTTAAAGAACATGGTTTCACGCTGCGCTGCTCACCCCCGAAGCTCAGTGCTAAACTAGTACATATATATTCAATACAGAATCTCCAGGAATGGGTAAACTTCCTGTCCGACAGGCCATGACCACTCGATCATACACGCTAGCCTAACACTTGAAAGATTTTAAATGTCGCAAGTTCTATGGATAGCCAAGGTTAGTGTTATATAAGTACACACTGTCCCTATAATGTTTCAGTGTATTCGTTACCGAGACAGTTCCTGCTGCAGGCCAAATATGACCACAAGTTTCCTAGAGGACCACCAGTGGATGAATATGACAGATTATGCCCAATGCCCACAGAAACCGCGGCTGTCACCGGAGTGTGAAAGATTGACCCATGACGAAATCTGCTCCTTTGCTTGTTCGCCAAACTTGGGTCCATGGATTGTGAGAGGGGTATGTCAAATACTCCCCTCTCTCTCTCTCTCTCTCTCTCTCTCTCACACACACACACACACACACACACACACACACACACACGCACAGATTGCACACAGACACACACACAACAGTTGTGTGTGAACTGATAATTGCCATTCATTCACCTGGTCTGCCCATGTGATATTATATCAATGTCGACCGTGGCCGATGTCAGTATGTTGCTTTGCCAACCTCAGAAAAGTGATATCGACCGAGGTGCATTATATAATACCAGATAAATAATACTTTATATTTTTCGATAAACATTTTAGAAAGAATACCCGTATAGTGACCGTTATAATCAACTGCCTCTGTGCGCCAGACAATGTGACAAATGGTGGAACGCTTGCAAGGAGGAATACACGTGTCACAAAAACTGGTTCACTGACCCTGCCTGGGACGCTAATGGTGAGTGACGTCATATCCCAGCCAGCACCCCCCTGGCATCCAAGTTAATGTGATGTAATAATTTGACAGCAACCTGATATATATATATATATATATATATATATATATATATATATATATATATATATATATATATATATATTCAGTATAGCCACAGGGTCAATGTGGTTGGATGTTTGCAAAAAGAAAGAGAAGGAAAAGAAGTAGCGGCAAAAAACATGGAAACTCCTGCATTTCCTGCCTTTTCACATGTTAAGCGCACATGCCTATTACTTCTTAAATCAGACTCGGCTTTTGGCAGTTTGTGAAAATGTGGTCGAAGTTTACCTTGCTTATGCAGATAGCAACTTTTGGGTTAAAAATTAATATATTTCATGCTCTTCCTTTTCAGGTATGAACATTTGCCCAAAGGACACTGTGTGTAGGAAATACACTGAGGTGTACACATCAGCTGCTGATTTCTGCAACACCATTTGGGATGGCGGTTATCACGTGGTACCAGACACCGAGCCTTGCCTGGAGTTTAGTTTTGATCCAGCAAAACCAAATCCGAACGTCCCTGTGGCTCGAGCTGCTGCCGAAAAAAAGGCTGCTGTGTCTGGGGCTTCCGGATTGAAGATGTATTCCCCTTCAGGGGTTTTTGTTCTTTATACGATGTTCTTAATGTTCATCTTATCTCACCCAAATCCAATATAAAGGTGCAAATGGGGTCACAAGCATGCTGTTAAAATATTAAGTGCACAGGTTACAGAGTATGTTTGATTATTTTAGAGTCCCACATGAAGAAGTTTGCAGTTTCACTCTCCTGGAAACATAAATAATAAAAAAAAGGAACATGTTACTGTCACAAATGCAAAACGAAGTTTTTCTCACTTTAAAAATTCAACCATCACTGATTTTGTTCTTTAATTAATATCCTACAAGTATAATGTTGTAAAAGTATGATAATATTCTGTATAGAGCAATTATTTTTTGAACGCCTTCAGCCGTCTGGTATCTGAATATTAAAAAAGAGGGGGAAATACACGCTACCGACAGTCAAATAAGCATAAAATCGTGATCCAAATTTTGTATCAGAAATGTCAAACTGTCATGGAATCATAATATCTTTTTCAGTCAGCAACAGAAAACCCTGTTTCCACTTCCCTATTGCAACAAGTACTTGGGCAAGATGAAACTTTCTGACATTTTTTTTCTGGGGAACATACTGTTATGTCCGACATAAAGATATCTTATGAGGTCAGATTATGCAACGTGGAGTGGTCCGATAGTTATAGAGTAATGTGGCGGCCCCTTTAACACCGATATAAAGACATTAACTCTGCAATTATAAATAATTTTTGCGTGCATCGTGCATTAGTCATTCATTGGATTCAATTCGGATAAGAAATAAGTATATAAGCGATACATTGGAGTGAGAAGGGGAGAGGGGACGAGAAGGAGAGAAGGACATTGGGAGCAACGGATCGAGTACGGGGCAGACGTAGTTTAGAAGAGCTAGGAGTTGGAGACTTCACTTAGAATATGTAGCTTCCGAGCGTCGAAGAATAAATCGTTTAACTGGTCATTATGTGGACTTGGGCTTCCTTTGCGCAATCTTACTTAAAACTGAGACGAACCGTGGAATATTTAGATTGTGTTATCCACTAAATAAGTCTAAAACGTAATGTCCTATTTCGAGCCCAAGCTTGAATTAAGCGTACAAAATTATATAAGTTTAGGACATTCATTCCATATGTATGTAAAGGCTCATTACAATACGTCACTGTAGCCATGACCGGAACCCCTTGAGTTACAGGTTAAATATTTATTTAAAAATATCCTTACGTCATGTATAATTCACCAAGACTGAATCACTACAAAATATATCGAAACACATATAAAAATTTAATTTATAACCTGTTTTTTCTGCCTTTTTTAAAACAATTTACAGTCTTTCTCGATCGCCACATTAACCTGTCGAATGCATGATGCACCAGGGCATGTAGAATAATGGTCACCAGAATAGCATCAGTGTCACACATAAAAATATAATATTGAAAACACCCTCAGAAGGCCACTTGCGGTTTAATTTGTACAGTTTAAGGGTCTCAGTAAGCCAACATGGCGTTTTCCCTAGTCATCTACCTGTACCTGGTCATACTGACGTGGGGGGTTGTGATGCAAGAGCACAAGCCCAGGACGGCAGACTATTACATGAACAGATGTATTTTCTTGCCAACTAAATTCAGCAAGACAAGACCATCACCAGAACCGGAGCTCGAGGTAAGAGAAAGAGAGAGAGAGAGAGAGAGAGAGAGAGAGAGAGAGGACGGGGAGGAAGGAAAGGAGGGAACGGTTGGAAGTTGTAAAAAATACGTTATTTTAATGTGTGGCCATGAAAATACTGGGTGAAAATGATTATCCGACGTTTGAAGGGTGGATTATCAGATTAAATATATAAAGTAACATATACTATTATGTTTAGTTCGAGGAGGGGTGGGGAAAAACTTTAACACAACCCCACCATCTTGTCTTTTTCTTTCAATCAGTACAATTACTAGAATAAGCGAATGCATAACAGTGGGCTTGAAATCACTGTCTACGTCCCTTAGCGTTAACATGTTACAAATGTACGTCTAATTAAAAAATATGGATGCCACCTCCACATTCGCACACACTCACACTTACAAGGTACTTATAATTTTTAAATATGTATATTATGAAGTCGGAGTGTACGGGGTGGGGGTTATTTCTTCTCATTCTCCGATAACTGCCCGTTATCCAAAACCTTAACCAAAGAATTGCAGGAACAGCGCGTATGGTATAACACAGTGATGGCGTACGTAATGAGACACCCGATATACGTTTATGAACTTTTCTTGAACTTATGGTTTTTACAAGGCCAAACAGGTGTGCTTCTTGTTATGATTTGTTTACCACCTGTACATTCGCACGCCCAATAGTATACTATTATGGCGGCAACGCTCACTGGTATCGTCTGCCTCGCCTTCCTGGTTCTTGGACAGTTCGTGGAAACAGAGGCACGACTGTCAGCAGAAGATTACTTGAACATGTGTATTAGATTACCAAACGAGTACAGTAAAGCAAGGCCGTCGCCTGAACCGGATGTAGAGGTAAAATCGAGGTGGTATTTATACTGAGTAGTGTATCCAGAATGTTGAAGTTAAAAGGTCTCTTACCCCGTCTGCTTCCCATGAGGCTTAGGTATAGATAAAGTACGAGGCGCTGAGCTTTACGAGAAATAGAGCAGATAATTGGCGAGGCGAAGCTGAGATCTGCTCTATTTCTCGTAAAGCTCAGCGCCGAGTGCTTTATATGGTTTAAAGCACGATTAATTAACCCTGTGCAATGGTGCGTGGAACGCATTCGTGGATGACGTGACTTTACACGAAATAAAGCACGGCGCGACCTATTGTCTTTTGACAGGAGAGTGCTTTAAAGACTTGTAAGGCCCTGACACTCAGGGCAAGTTCAATAAGCTTTCTCCACTTCCTCCGTCTGATCTGTACAGCCGTCTGTATGCGGCTGCTTTATTTTACCATGAATTTGGGCTGTTAACCAAATGAACTGCCTCAAATAATCCTTCTTCGAATGGAAATATCATGTCTACCCAGTTTTGTATTAACCCATAAAGCTAGCGTGCTCAGTATACCTTTTCATGTGCTAGCTAAATTTGCAGTCAGTATTGCTGCTATGGGTTATACTATATACAATATATGAAATCTAGATCGAGCTGGCAAATTTGAAAGCTAGAATCTAGGGTAACTGAACGAGACTATGTATGTAATGGCATTGTCGGACAAAATGAATACTTCAAAATACTTCCTAAAACACTCTAAGCATTATGATTCCTTTTCTTTGTACATGTGCATATAAATTCCTGATGGTAGTGGATCAAGATTTCGACAATGAAGAATCGGAATTCTTGCCCACCCCTTGGCATTCAATTTTATACATATATATCATAAACATCACCTCCATACATAGGGCAACTGCCTGTCCGACAGATCTAGAGGACACACACACACACATATATTAACACGACAGGTCCTCTCGACTGGCAGTGTCTATATGTTTATATATGAACATACTGTACCCATATTATTTCAGTGCATACGTTACCGAGACGAATCCTGCTGCAAGCCAAACATGACCACAAGTTTCCTAGAAGACCACCAATGGATGAACATGACGGATTATGGCCACTGTCCACAGAAACCGCGTCTGTCACCGGAGTGTGAAAGATTGACCCATGACGAAATGTGCTTTTTTGCTTGTTCGCCAAACTCCGGCCCATGGATTGTGAGAGGGGTAGGTCAAATATTCTACTCTCTGTCTCGATCTTTATCTCTCTCTCTTTTACACACACACACACACACACACACACACACAAAACTGGCGGTGAACTCATTATGACCATTCATTCATCTAGTCTGCCCTGTGACAGAATACAATTATCAAATTTGGCCGGAGTCAGTTTATTCTTTTGCCAACCTCAGTAAAGGGATATCGACCGAGGCGCATTATATAATACTAGAAAAGTAATACTAGATGTTTATTTGATTTACATTTTAGAAAGAATACCCGTATAGTGACCGTTATAATCAACTGCCTGTGTGCGCCAGCCAATGTGACAAATGGTGGAACGCTTGCAAGGAGGAGTACACGTGTCACAGAAACTGGTTCACTGACCCTGCCTGGGACGCTAATGGTGAGTGACGTCACGTTGTTGTGACGTAATAACTTAACATCAATGCGCTACATATAGCTATGGGTTTAAGATGGGGAACGTATACAGAGTAGATGATAAAGAACTGGCTTGACAGGAATAGTAGTTCACTAGGAACCATAGTCCGTTCCCTATTACTTTGTACAGATGACATTCGTCCATTTTATTTTATTATACTAACTCCAACACTCCGACTAACCCTAACCTGTACTATTCATATGGGACCCTGGACTTCCATACCTAGGACTACCATTTGTCTGCAAAAAGAGTGGAAAAGAAAATAAATCCAGGGACGAAAAATAAAGGCAAAAAAAAAAACACATGGAAAAATCAGGAGCATTTCTAACCGTTTCACGTGCTATCTATACGCACGTGCTTAAAGGTTTTTTAATCAAACCTGACTTCTTGAATTATGTGATGTTGTCATCCAAATCGTCCTTTCCAAATCAGACAGCAGCTTCTGTGATTGCAACTTTTTTCAGTAAAATGTATTATATTTCATGTTAATTCTTTTCAGGTATGAACATTTGCCCAAAGGACGCGGTGTGTAAGAAATACACTGAGGTTTACACGTCAGCTGCTGATTTCTGCAACACCATTTGGGATGGCGGATATCACGTGGTACCGGACACCGAACCCTGCATGGAGTTTAGTTTCGATCCAGCAAAACCAAATCCTAACGTCCCCGTGGCTCGAGCCGCTGCCGAGAAAAAGGCCGCTGTGTCTGAGGCGTCCAGTTTGAAGATGTATCCCCCTTCAGGGGTTTTTGTTCTATATACGCTGTTCCTACTTTGCACCCCCTCTACGCTTTTTTACATGAAGCTTCATTAATGTACGTCTATAGCGAGTAACGAGGTCAAACAAATTGCACAAACGTCATTTTGATGAGTTTGAATTGAGTATTTTAGCAATTTCAAAATTGCCTGGAAGTTAAAGTTTTTTTATTTAAAACATACATCTGCAGATCCATCTAACTTTAAAAACTATTGATGAAAGTAGACATTTGTTCATTACTTTAACAGTGTGTACAATGTAACAACGACCACTCAGACTACTCCACGTGAACATGTTGATCGAGCGCTCTTATATAATATAGACTAAAAATTGCATCTAAAGACACAAACAGTGACTTGCGCATGTTTATATGTCATTGTTTTCAGTTTTCGACTGATTTCTTTAAACACTTTTTAATATTTTTTCATACTTTACACCGTTGTTAAGCGTTTGAAGTGTATCATTTTTAAACTAGTAAGCTTACAAAAAATGTTAAAAGCCTGTGATTCAGTAATACACATGCACCGATTGCATACGCACATAATATACATTTCATATTTGGTTGCAAAATATACGAATAAAAATCATTATACAGCTTTTTTCTCCTGCAGTATATTTTAATCACTTAAAAGTGATCTCCGAAAATAAGTCATCTATCATAGAGTGATTGTTTATCCTAGAGGGACCTACTTACTCATAATATCGATTTAAGGCGCTCTTTTCGGTAAGGTGCACTTTGTAGATGGTTAGTCTGTGAATATATCCCAAGGAGGATCCATGCGCAGACCATGGAACATAGGAGCTTTCAAAGTTTGTTTTACCACGTAATCTATTGTATCCCAGCTGGTGCTACTGAAACCACTGCACAGGTCATTAAATGGGTTGGCAGGATCTCGAACTGACAAGCTGCAAGAGATATGTGTTACGTACATTTATATACATTTGTAAAACTAATGACATGAACTCAAATTTTCATGTTTTAAAGTTTTTCACAGACCTTATCATTAACTGCAAAATGTAGGTTTCTGAAAAAAAGTACTTGCTTCTGCGTATGGAGGTGGCAATACTTGTACGTACCGATTAGTATTAGGTAGTGGACAATTGCTGTGGTCATAATAGTGCATTTGCCACTGCACGAGGAGATGACTAGGTTTAGTCAGTAACCACATCACGGCCTTTAATCCTTTTCTTTTGTCCATGGACCAGGGTCTCCCAGTCATTTCCCAAACCTTGATACACAGGAGTTCCAGGAGATAGGAGGACGGCAGCGTTACGTTGTGAGCAAAACCCTAGCAGAAACAAAATAAAATGAGGAGCTGCATTCATCAGGTGGGGGATGTCAAACGTCCTGCCTCGAGGATCACACACACACACACACACACACACGTGTATTCGTCGTAATTATTCAGAAATAAAAAGTCACACTCTTTCTACGTATATATACATTTACACGTTTACACATTTACACGTTTATACATTGAATAATCCGTATAGTTTTCAGGACAGTGGAATAGGCAAACTGTTTAGGGGCGTTCACGACAGGAAAAACCCAACACCTTCTGAAATAATATTTAGATCCTAAGACCTAATTACTATGACAGTTCTTACCCTAAAGTACTCATTTTTCCAGTGTTTAACAAATCGAATCAAGTCCTTTACTACCGGATGTTGACATTTTACGAATTCGACTTGCAGCTGTACCAATGAGGCTGAACAGTACCCACGCATGGATTCAGAAGCTGCTTCCATTGCATCATACACTTGCTGTGGGGTACCTGTAATGGAAAACAAAAAGCCATTTAAAACAAAGGCATGGGGATTAATATGTACTCTACAGCATATATATATATATATATATATATATATATATATATATATATATATATATATATGAGGTTAACGTTTTTATTTAACTTTATATACATATATATATATATATAGAGAGAGAGAGAGAGAGAGAGAGAGAGAGAGAGAGAGAGAGAGAGAGAGAATAGAAGTGTCACCCCCTGAATCAGAGTAATCAAATTTATTAAACTGAAGAGGCGGAATATAAGCAATGTCAGAATATCAGTATAGTTGAACTGTTCAGTCAGAACCGTTTCTTTCGTGAAATTTTATGTTAATAAAATGATACCAGGAAGATATCATTCCACGGTCATTTATCTCCCCCCCCCCAAAGTATTGGTTCTGTAGGGGTGACAATTCTATTGATGACAATTCTATTGATTATATATATATATATATATATATATATATATATAGCTGAACAAGTCTTACTCATGTGCGTTGCACTATTTGTCTACCTGGAATTACAGTGCAGCTTTGAAATTGTGGAAGAAATCAGCGGCCTTTAAATTAAAAGGTGCGGTGTGAGTTGGATGTAATTATGTTCCAGTGGTTTATACGTTTTTCCATTCATTGATTCAATGGTGATTGCAATAATAATTCGTCAAAATAATCCTAAAGCCTAAGCTAGGTATTCTGACAAACCTTTCCCCAAAATATCTATGGCAGGTAGCAGATCAACGTCACAGGTAAAAGAGCCCCTCTTGTATCGAAGTTTCACGGCATGCCTCGTCTCGTCAACAACCTTGAACTCGTCTGGAGACGTCCGATTTTCGAGGGAATGCCTTATCTTCTGAATGATTTTCTGTAACCAGGGTCCACTCATGGCTTGTATGGACGACCGAATGTCTCCGTCATAATTGATGAAAACCACACAGTCTATGTCGGACGTATCTCTCAGTCCCGTGCCTTTCCCCAGCGATCCTCCCTGTAGAAGGACTTAATTTTTAATGCTAATTTTAATTAGTTAAAACTTATAAATATTCTATCCATTTATTATACTTGAAATTTTATCGACAATATAGGCCTATACTTGATATAGTACATGTATTGTGTATTACCCATCGCTTAGTACTTTCCAGTCCCTTTTTGTTCAATTATGCATTTGTAGTACACGTTATTTTTCTATTTCGGTTTGTTGATTTTAAATTTCATGAGTACGGACACATGTGTCACTTTCATACCTTAAAGACTAAAGACTAAAGACGTCTCTTACTCTCTCCCTCTCTTTATCTCCATTGAAAAATAGAGAACTTGTAAAACAACCCTGGAATAAATATGTACCTTAATCACTGAACGGACATTTTTGGACACTTTTGTTTGTAGATACCGCACCAATTCATCAATGGCCACGCCGCAAGCTCTAGAGAAGTAATCATTGGGTTGCAAGTATGTCGAAATAAAAACGTTAACCTCAGATGCACTCTGGGCCTTTGAAAATACGCTTTGAAATCCCTGTGCCATTTTTGTTGTGTCTAGGTGTGTGCTGACCTTGTATCAATAGAATCTAGCCTTGAATTGCGTCAATGGGGACAGGGTCCGACTGACTGATAAACATTTAGCATTCAATTACACCATAACACATACCGCGCGTAAAATGTTGTGTATTTACCCCCAGGACTTCTGTTTTCTAGTTGGCGGGTGACGCAATTTTAAAGAAGTGATATGAAATTTTCTCCTGATTTAAGATTTGAAGAAATGTTTTGAAGGCTATTAATCTTATTAGACCGCCACGATCCGCCAACTCCCATTTGTTCTTTATACGTAGACGCATTGTTAGCCGAGGATGAATTACAGTGTAAAAATGCAGCTTCCCACGTTGAAATAACACATATACTGCGCGTACCATTGAAGGCGCGTTGATTCAATCATTTTTTAGTCCAAATCACGAAAGAAAAGGATTTAATCATACTATTCTTTACTTTCGTTTTAGACAGCCCTTTCAGTCTCGTGTTGAATACGAGGCTAAGGTCACATGTTAATGCATAGCAACACGCACGGTTCAAGAAATCTGTTGTCAAGCAGTATTCGCGCTTAAAAGGAATATATGTTAAGTAATTCCGACAAGTGTCATGACTATATAGTAGATAAGTGCATGTACATTGTGAGTGTGACTGGTATTGTTCTACTTGGTACATGCATTATTAACAGTAGGCAATTTAGTTTGACATTAAATTACCCGGTTCAGCTGCAATGTGATACGTATACGTAACGTGATTAGTGGCACAGAAAATACAAAAACTAGTGGTATAGATATAAATATTTAATACCATTTATTCACATTTATTTCATACAGGTATACCCCCTCAAATCCAAGGTTTCACTGTGATTTTTATATTTTATATATATAATGTGTTATATTTCCCCTGTCCTCAATAATTTATCACTTGTGAAAAAACAGTCACCGGTCTTAGAGCGATTGTTTTGCATACTCACTTCATATCTTAACTAGTCATTGGGTGCATTTGGTAGTTTAAGAACAATATCCTAATACATTTTTTCTTGTCCAGAGATGAGTCGTATGTAGTCCTTTGAGCAATGGCATTTTAAGAGTCATATTAGCTACCTGGCGCGTTCTGCCCCAGCTGGGCGCATCGAAGTCACTGCACAGGTCGTTGAATGGGTTGGCAGGATCTCGAACAAACAGGCTGCAAAATACGCTTTAATACATGTGTATTCATTAGATATCTATTGAAATGTTAGACTAGGCAAAATGTACCATTTTGGGATGAAACTGAACTAATTTGAAACAGAATTCTTTATTTCATCCTGTATTCCCTTGAAATTCCCAAAGCATTATTCTTAAATTCCCAACAAATCAAGGTCTGGGAAATATTTCAGTTGGTATAAATCCATTATGGCCGCAAAAGGCACTTTTATTTTGGTTCTTACCAGCCCATATATATTTAAATTAAATATGGCCTAGGATATATTCAAGTTATTTATATATTGTTTTAATAATTGTTCTTATTTACTGCAATGTGGTATTTTGAGCATAAGACGGTAGGTTTTTCCTTAAAATGTTTCAATACGTACCGAAAAGTGGAAGAAAGTGGATATTTGCTTGGGTTGTAATGTTTTGGCCCCTTCACTCGTTGGTGTTTTTTTGTAGTCAGTAGCCACATCACGGCCTTTAATCCCTTTCTTTTGTCCAAGGGTCTCCCCGTCATTTCCCAAACCTTGATACAAAGAAGTTCCAGGAGATAGGAGGACGGCTGCCTAACGTTGGGAGCAGTGTCATCCTACATGAAAAGATTAAATTGAGGCCTTGTATGGCATTCATCGGGTGGGGAGGATATCAACCTGTCGGTATATAGATAGATAGATAGATAGATAGATAGATAGATAGATACGTTTTTCATTCCGATAAAGCTTCGATCGCTTTGCGTAGCGCATAAGTAACGCAGCCGTTGCAGGCGACTGCCGCATTGAAAGTATCTATAACGATCGATGCCTAACGCCTGATTGGCGTTTGGAAAACCTATCCCAGAGCTTTGTAATTGGTGATTATCTCTATAATTTAATCAGTTGGAGAGGATGGGGGTATCTCTTTTACAACACCGATTGGATCTAATCCGGTTTGCAAAGTGTTGCTTAAACCAAAAATGAACTCCACTTCATACATGTTTAACTATAACATGTTTAATGTATAACAAAGACATCTTCGTTTTGCCATTTGTGGTCAAATAAAAGTTCAATTTGTACAAGTCCATCACAACCGCCCCAGATAGAGAAGATGCATGTAGATATTTTTCTATGACAATTCTCACCTGAAAGCATTCCTTGCTCCAGTATTTGACAAAACGAATCAGGTCCTTTACCGCCGTCACTTGATGTTTTACGAAGTCTACTTGAAGCTGTACCAATGATGCTGAACAGAACTTACGCTGGAATTGAGAAACTGCTTTCATTGCACTATACACTTGTTTCAGGGTACCTAGGAAAGAATTAGTGCCAGCTTTTGATTTGTGAAAAAGCAAATGCAGTCTACAGCAGATGTAAATAAAAAACCCACGCATCTGTCTTTATACCAACACCTTTTTATCTACCCTGAATAGAAAATAACAAAACTTTGATTTTGTGAAAATAAAACAAAGCCAAGTCTTCAAATTTATCGGATATGATTTTGTTTTAATGGACTTTAAGTGGTGATATGGTGATTTTAATAATAATTCCTCAAAATCTAAGCTGGGTATTCTGACAAACCTTTCCTCAAAATATCTATGGCAGGTAGCAGGTCAACGTCACAGGTAAAACAGCCCCTCTTGTAGCGGAGTTTCACGGCATGCGACGCCTTGCCAACAACCTCGAACTCAGGTAAAGGGTTCCGATTTCCGAGGCAATGCCTTATCTTCTCAATGGTTTCCTGGTTTCCTGCAACCAGTGACCGGTCATGGCTCGTGTGGACGATCGAAGATCTCCGACATGATTGAAGAAAACCACGCAGTCTATGTCGGAATTATCTCTCAGTGCCGTCCCTTTCCCCAGCGATCCTCCCTATAGAAAATATGGCAACGCTCATTACCTTATAAATGTACTACTTATTTACTCTATTTGAAATCTCATATATACCTCAGTTTCGTGTATAAGCTACTGTTTAGTACTTACTCGTAATTCCATGTATTTTTTAACAATCTTACACGTTACTTTCGCTTTCGGATTGTTGACGTTTATTCCATACCTAACTCTACCCGCAATGAAATTTATTTTCTCAAAAATTGCTTTTGTCGGGGGTGCGGGTTACTCATTTACCACCAAAGCACAAGGGTATAATTATTAATAAAATGTCGTTGATAAGCTCTATCCATACCACGAATATCTTATCACGGTATTGTTTACTAGAAACTGCCACTTATGGAGAACGAACTTTAAAGTACACAGGCCCAAAATGAAAGAAAGAAAGACAACGGAGACTAGATTCATTATACAAGTATATGTTATCTAATTATTCAAAGTCAACCCCACACCAAATACACCCTCCTTCTCTTTATTTATCTCCCTCTTTCTCTCTCCCTCTCTCTCTTTTTTCTTTCTCGAGAAAATGTTTTTTACTACTGAAAAGTGGCAAAAAACGTGGGTTAAATATGTACACTTATCACCGCATCCCTATTAATCGAAATTTTTTTGTAGATATTGCACCAATATATCCATGACAACGCCGCATGCACTATTGAAATCTTTACCAGGCTGCAAGTATCTCGAAATGAACTGGTCAACATCAAAAATAATCTGAGCCGTTAAAAATGTACCTGGCCTCGGCAGTGCCATGTTTATTATGTCTAGGTGTTTGCTGACCTTGTGTGAAAAGAATCTAGTCTTGAATAGCGATATTATTCGAGAGAGAGAGGAGGGGTCGATTGCATTTAGAGTGGGATTGGCTTGGATTGAGATTGGAAAGATTTTAACCAAAAAATTGCAAAACCGTGGAGTGAAAATGTACCTTTATTACTGAATCGACATCAATCGGTACTTCTTTTTGTAGATACCGCACCAATGTATCGATGGCAACGCTACAGGCACGGGAGACATCTTCATCCGGTCGCAAGTAATCCGAAATAAACTTTTCAACATCAGACGCACTTTGAGCAGTCGAAAATATACTTAGCTTTACCTGTGCCATTTTTGATAAGTCTTGAGGTACATCCGTTGACCTCTGCGTCTGTCAACAAGGCCTTCCTTTGTCTCGTAGTGTCTCAGCAGGTTCTGACTGATTGATAACTTAATGTGGTATTGCAGACATCTGCCCTTAAAAGCTGGTTATATGTCCCAAAACATGCCTTTCTCAGGTAATGTGCTAAACAATTGTATTGTAATAATATGAACGCTTCCTATGATTTAGGATTTGAAGAATTTTATTGAAATGTATTAATCCAATACGACTGCCACGATCCGTCGAATTTTAGATGTACAGAAATGTTTATATCCAGACGTATAGTCAATTGAAGGTGAAACAATATGGACCACTTGTTTTGAATTAAAAGGCAAAGTCTGTATGTGTCATTTAAAGCATATGGATTCGGAATTCTGAATTCAAATCACAAAATATTTGTTTGAACTACAGTATACTTTCGTTTTAGGCACTTCAGCGAGACTCCTGTTGAATACGGGGTCAATGTCATATGTCGAGGTAAAAGAACACGATAATCTGTTACCGTGGGACAGGCAATACTGGTACATGTATTCACGTTTAAAAGGTGAATGTTACAGGTACATTTGAAGTCAAATTTGGCTACAAAAGCTGACCAAATACCACCCCATAGTTTGAAATAGCTCTTAGAATAAAGTTGGAGTCATTTGACTCTCGATCTAGTCAGAGTCCAGCACCCCTTGACCCTCATGGAGTTAATTCGACTCCTATATAAGGGTCAAGTTACTCCACTACCAGAGTCCTTAGACTCTCTTATCAGAGCCAATCACCCCCTGGCTCTTATGGAGTCAATCTGACTCTAAAATCAGAGTCAAATTACCAGGGGCCAGTGT